GCACTTTGGAAGAATAAGAGAAGGCAGATGGAAGAGAGAGCAGAACAATTTAGGAAAAAAAGAGGAAGATAAGCTAACCATCCATGAGGAATTGTATCTATGTTAGACAAATATTATTCCAAAAAGTATAGAAAAAAAGAAAACAGCAGTAGATTGTGTTCAGCCCAGTACATTTGTGTCCAGCTTACAGCATTGCCCTTACCCAATCCCATCTATTTCACATCTTCATTCATTTCAAAATGAAGAAAGGCCTTAACTTTCAGGATGAGACAGTTCTGGTTTCCTAGTAACTTCTAAAAGTTTCTAAAGAGTTGCAATGACTCTAATAAATGGTAGATAGAGAAGTTATCAGAAACTTCAGAAATTGTAAGATCTTCTCTAAGAGTAGATTTGGATTTAAAGATCCCACTGGTGAAAAGCCATATCCTAGAAGGTAAGAGTGAGCAACAAACAGAAAGGGGCTCTGAAAGACAGTCCAAATAAGAGGAGCCCCACATTACCCCAAAATGTTATCCATGGAGTTTGCCATAGGGCATCTGACATGAAATAATAGGGATGGCAGAGGGCATAAGGACCATACACAGGGATGGAGAGTGTAGGACAGTCATGTCTGCACATAGTAAGCACTCAGTAATGCTGACTGAATGAGCAGGCCATTGTGTGCCTGAGCTTCTGCTAAGGGAAGTCATGAATTGCTTTGCTAACAGCAGGGTTTATTTATTTACTTGTGTATTTACTTAGCTACATCTAAGAAGGAACTGAAGTGATGTGCACTATTAAAATGTACATAAATCAGAGTAGGAAAAGTTAAAGCAGAAAGTACTTAGAAGAAAGGAAAAAAAGCAACGTCCTGGAAACCTGAGTCAAGAGGATCATTACAGTAGAGCTTATTGGAAGCTCAGAGCTTCCTGAAACCAGTTCAAAAGAGAAACATGCTAGATTGTACATTCTCATCAGCCAGTAAAGGGAAATTTGTAAATTCACCTGGAAATGGAGACTTATTCTTGGAACTTAATTCTAGAAAGAATTTATTGCATGGACACTTAAATGAGAGGAATAAGACATTTAATGCATTTTGCAAAGGCTACATACATGTTATTCATATACCAAACAATAAAGGTAAACAACAACACACCCTACATAAAATAATAGGTGACAAGGACAGAGAGGAGAAGGGGTTAATATATGAAAATACACACTACCACTCAAGAGAGAAAATATAAATATTGACTACAGTCCCCATGTATGCAACTAATTATGAGAAACATTTATGACTTCTTTACTGCCTGCACTGTCAGTAAAGAGGAGGCAGGTAGTATGGGAGGTTCTTTTTCTACTTGTTCCCTACAGTTTCTGGACCCATGTAATCTGTCCTTGGGTAAAACAACACCATATATTGGTTATTGATTTGGAGCATACACCGTTTCCTCTGGACCAGTAAGTACCCTCACCTCATAAGATATCCTCCAGCTGGCTCTGTAACTGAGTCTTCAGTAGACTATTGCTTTGCTCTAAAGGCCAGCTGCTCCTGGGTTATGGTAAGACTAGTGAATCCTGTGGGAGATGGCCTATAGCATCTTCACCACCAGCAATGTTATATGAATTACTGTTGGTGAATTAAGCCTTTCGTAAGTACACAGAAGACATTGCTAATAGAAGCATAGCAGGAAAGTCAAATTTATATCCAAAATCTCTAGTGAGAAAAATGGCTACCACATCCACAATGAAAGGGGTTCAATATAATCAGTCAATAGGAAGCTGGTCATGCCACCTGCATTGTTCACATTTGGAACTGTACGCAGGGCTCAACATGAGTCTCTGATGCTGGCAATTCAAGCATTCAATAGTGGTAGTAGCCAGATCTGCCTCGGGAGAGGAAGTTCATGAGGTTGAACCCATGAATAACTTCTCTCTCTGTCACCATGGCCACTCTGTTTCTGAACCCACTGTGTAATACTAGTGATGCCCGGAAAGAAGACAGATGACAATTGCAATCCAGGTCTTCTTGCCCATCTGATTCTGGAGAGTCTTCTCTGCCTACTGGTGAGCTTTCAGACACAAGCATTCTCACACCATCAACGTATTTTGAGAGGTCCATGAGTGTACCTCTATGCTAAACCTTCTTGTAATCCAATATTGTTCCTTTCAGCTTCCTCCTCATCAAACCAAACCTTTAGGTTCTATGTATGAATCTTCACTGTAAGAATCTTCCCTTCTAGGTAAAGTGTGGAGTTTGATCTACTTCTCAAAGTTCTACTTATTGTGAAGATTTATCTCCCTACTTGTACTTTGTAGCCAACAATGAGAAGAGCTCTAATGCTATATCAATTTATTTATGGCTGGTGCTGGTATATTGTATTCATAATCATTACTAACTCAATCTTGAATCTTTTTTTCTCTGCCTACAGGGAAATTCCATAAGGATACATTAATGAATGAGGGAGAGGTGGTATTGCAGCAGGATTAGGTGCCATAAGAGTTGAAGCAATTCTCTCATGAAACTTTCTTGTGCATTTAAAACTTGCTCAGGCTGCTCTTGTATATGCCACTGCAAGTTGAGGATGGAGAGCTGCAGTGCACAGACAAATTTGAGAACAGGTCAATCAAATACCATTTAATTTGGAAGGCAGCTCAGGTCTCATAACCAGTTCATTTCCCATGGCCAGATATTTAGTCTCTACCAGAACCAAACATCAGGAGATGTTTCTCAAGGAAAATAGTTATTTGTCAGAGAAGTATGGCTTTGCTCTCAATTATGGGGCTGCACTATGGTTCTCTTACTGGGGTGTTTCATAGGCTCAATGAACTATTACAGACACTTTGTACACATTAAACTTCTGAGTCATGAGATCTAAGTAGCAAGAGTGGCTTATTCTTTGAACTGGCTAAAGAATATTCTTTTGCTTTGGGTTTCCCTTAAATTAAGAGCCTTATGGTTTATTTGGTAAGTAGGAAGAAACAACACCATTGTAACAACATTATTTTGCCTCTGTAATACTTAAAGCCCACCAAATGTGTGTGGCTCTGCCACTTTCTTCATGGAGCTGGATACAAGGTATAGCAAATTGTCTTTCACTTTGGAGAGGATACCTCTAAATATTCCAGATGTCTAGATTCCCAGAAACATCAGTGAATTAGTAGATCTCTCATGGAATTTATCTCTTATCCTCAAATATGTTTCTTATCAAGGCATCTTATGTATTTGTTATTTTCTGACCAAATTGTGATAGCCAAACCCACCTAGTGGAACTAGCACAAGGAACCCAGAACCTCTGGTAAAAGTGCCCATGTTAATAATTTTGACCCAGGGATGCCTGGGTGGCTCAGTGGTTGAGCGTCTGCCATTGGCTCAGGGCATGATCCTGGGGTCCCGGGATTGAGTCCCACATGGGGCTTCCTGGATGGACCCTGCTTCTCTCTCTGCCTATGTCTCTGCATCTCTCTCTGTGTCTCTCATGAATAAATAAATAAAAATCTTTAAAAAATTAATTTTGACCCAAAGGAGCTATGTTGCTTTTTTCCTCCTTAGTCTAGCACTTTAGAATTCATTTTCACACATATTCCCTGGCTTCTGCTATAGAGAAAAGTCTTACAAGTCTTTTGATATACAAGCTGTCTCCTCTAGGTATAACCTGGTCAGACTCTCCTTGCATTTAGATACCTCTACCCTGCAGTTCCAAGAAATAAGACACTGAAGCTTCTTAATTCTTTTCTTTTTTCTTTTCTGTTTCTTTTATATTTCCTTCCTTCCTCCCTTCCTTCCTTCCTTCCTTCCTTCCTTCCTTCCTTCCTTCCTTCCTTCCTTCCTTCTCTCCTTCCTTTTCCTGGGTAAGCAGCATATGTTGGCTTTATTTTTATTTTTTTAACTTGATATACAGTAAAAATGACCTTTTATTTGGCCTTTATTTTATAAGTTTAACACATATATAGATCTGTGTAATAACCAACATCACAATTAGGATATGGAACAGATTTCCCTCTAAGCACTGCTTTAGCAGCATATCATAGTCCCAAAGGGAAATAGTGTTCCTAGTCCAGACTGCCAACAGTTGAAACTTTGTCAAGACCATTGTTAAAACTGGCATGTATTTAAACAATGATTCAAATAGTGTAAACTTTGAGGATATTAAGTTTTAGAAAGTGATCAGCATGGTTCTGGATATATAGGAATTTTAGTATATTAGCAGGGGATATATATCTCAGAGTGGAAAGTCAGGATAAGGATGAATATTTCATATTATTTTAAACCAGGTACTCAGAGACTTTACTAAGTTAACCCAAATCCTTGTGCTTATAGGGTCCCTTTGGATCTGATTACTCTACTAGAAGCTGGATAAGAAAAAATCTTGGGATAATTTGTTTTATAAATCTTTATTTCTTATATACTGTTTCTGCTAGAACCAGGGAGGCAGACTGGATGATGAAAATTTGTGCATTTGCTTTTGTCAATCCTGTCACATTCCACAGGGAGGCAAGGGAGTCTTCATAGTAGTTATAGTAAGAATTAGAAGAAAACAGCCATTTGTTTTGGGGGGTTTATTATTGTCATTCTAATCATTGAGATATAGTCTTATCTGAAAGGAAAAAATAATCCAGATGGTTAAGTTTCTTTTTATTCTTCAAAAGATGGGCATTAATATTTTTGAGGTGTATGGGATGGTTGGGATACTGGTCTCCTGGAATATTGGATGCTTTTAGCTGGAGTAGAAGCTGGTGCCATCTTGGGTAGAAAGGAATGAACTCATTGGGATTCTATTTGAGGCAGGACAGAAACTAATATCAGTATGAAGGTGAGTCTCAGAATCTCAGCTTTGGGAGAACTGCATTATAGATATATTAAAGCCACATAAACAAGAAGCAAAAATCTAGCTTCTTATATTTTTCAATGACTTAATATAATCTCAATATTAATATGCCATTTCATCTGGATATGGGAAAGGTTGACCTAATTAAGTCCAAGCAGATTCTAATAACAAACATTTTTTTTCCAATAATTCCAGGTTTTCTTGGATTTCTGAGGATGATAGGTACAAGGCTTTCACAGAAGGTCAGTTCAACATCTTTGATTCATTGCATGAGTTCTTGGGATCTTTATCCAGCCTGAATGGATGGGGAAAATGCTTATTGTTTATAGTCCTTCACTATGAATTTTTCATGTGGCTTTGCATTTTGGAAAAAAAATAGATAAAAACAAACAAACAATAAACCCAGGCCCTTGACTGGAGTCTCTCTTTCAAAACTATTAAGGCTTCTTTTGTTTACTGCTGTATCCCTAGGGCCTAGAATAGGGTCTGGCACATAGTAGATGCTCAGTAAATATTTGTTGAATATCTAGATGAAAGTGAGTAGATGAATGAATAAAAAGTCTAGACTTTTAGGGCACCTGGGTGGCTTAGTCAGTTAAGTTCTGGATTCTTGGTTTCAGCTCAGGTCTCATGGGTCTTGAGATCAAGTCCCCTCCTGGGGCTCTGCACTCAGAGAGGAATCTGCTTGAAGAGTCTCTCCCTCTGCCCCTCCCTCAGTTGAGTTCTCTCTCTCTCTCTCTCTCTCTCTCTCTCTCTCTCTCTCAAATAAATAAATAAATAAATCTTTTTTTTTTTAAGTCTAGGCTTTCACTTGTTCCTTTTAGGCATAGTTTCCCCAGCAGAAAAATAATCAAATGAACAACCATATACATGGGGATAGAAAAGGAATTAGTAGATTCACTAATAGAGCAGGTAATATGAGATTCAGTTAAATGTCTTTCAGTATTGAATCAGAGACAGGATTCAGACAGAAACTATATTTGGAGGTATAAATTCTAAAGTAAAAAAAAAAAAGCTTTAACTGTAAGCAAGTTACTTAATTATCTCCTTGAGTGAGTCTCCTTTGCCTATTCTCTACATAAGGATGACCAAAAATAAATGAATGAAATTTAGCTAAATTTATAACATCTTTACTGAGATATAATTTATAAACCATAAAATATATTTAGGTAAGTGTACCATTAAATTTTTAAAATAAATTTACCAAGTTGTGCAAATATGAGAATCCAGTTTTAGAACATTTTAGTCACCCAAATACAATCCCTTATGCTCATTTATGTTTAACCATTGTTCCCATTCCCAACCTTCATTCCCACTATATTAATTCTACTTTCTATCTCTCTTGATTTGCCTTTTCTTAAAATTTCTAATAAATGAAATCACAAAATACTTGGTCTTTTGTGTCTTAGCTTCTTTCATTTAGCATGGTTTTGAATTTCATCCTTGTGGTAGCAAGTTCCTTTTCACTGCCAAATATTTCATTTAATGGATTACATTTTGTTTATCCATTCATCAGCTGATTCCGTTGTTTCTACTTTAGGGCCATTATAAGTAATGCTGCTATGAACATTTGTGGGCAAGTCTTTAGGAAGACTTATGTTTTCATTTCTTTTGAGTAAATTTGATAAATTTATGTTTAATTTTTAAAGAAACCATCAAATTATTTTTCCACAGTGGCTATACATTTTATATTTCCACTAGCATAGTATGCAGGCTCCTGTTTCTCCATATCCTTGCCAACTTCTGTTATTTTCTGCCTTTTTTGACAATAGGGAATATAATTTTATGAAGAAAAAGCAATCACCTGTGTTTTTTTATGCCAGCTTTATTGCTAGTGATATAATGACAGTTATGATTGGGATAGGGCAGCCCCGGTGGCGCAGCAGTTTAGCGCCACCTAAAGCCCAGGGTGTGATCCTGGAGACCCGGGATCAAGTCCCACTTCAGGCTCCTTGCATGGAGCCTGCTTCTCCCTCTGCCTGTGTCTCTGCCTCTGTGTGTGTGTGTGTGTTTCTCATGAATAAATAAATAAATAAGTCTTAAAAAAAGAAGATATGATTGGGATCATTTAAAATATTTGGAATGGGAGTTATAAAACTTGAAGAGAAACTCTCTGCCATCCTGTTAATTTTCTTAAAGCTCTGTCTTTTTCTAGTCCCTCTTCTATTAGAAACTCTTCGGACCCCTCTTGGTAGTCTGCTGGGGTTGTCTCATACAGGGGTTTATGAGAACAATTATTACATTTTCAGGAATTTTATGGGCAACTTGTTAAACATAACCCCAAAATTAAATATATAAACTTAAAATTAGTAAACTATTTAAAGACAAAGACAAAACTTATTTCTTAATTATTTTATGGCATTTTACTATAATCTATGTTTTGAAGTTTCCTATGTCTATTATATTTGCATAGTAGACACACTACATAGTGGTGTGCTACTGCACATCTCTTCCCAAAGCTATTTTCAGTGATCCCACTTCAATAGCTTGAAGTCACCAATGGAAGGAATATTTACACCACAGAAATTGGCATGTGCTACAAACCAGGGCTTTTTTTTTCCCTCCCAGAAAAGTGGCTGTTAAATATGTACTAAGTCTAAATTTATCCTGTTGGTATTTTTTATTAAATTTATTAAAGGTGTAGATGATTTTGGAGAGAATTACATTATTAAAATATTGAGGCAATTATTTGGTTGGTTGTTCTTCTACTCCAGTAAATTTTTTTTTTCACTTATAGCTTGGATCCACTTCTTAGTAATTTTATACTTGGCAATTTATATTTTGGAGATAGAAGTAGGCAACAACTATGTCTACTATAGTTATGTATTTTTCTCATTGTCTTGGTCAGGTATTAATTATAGTATTATCTCAGCCTTATAAAATGAATGGGAATGTCTTTCATATTTTTCTATCCTCTGTAATAATATAAATTTTCTAGGAATTACATATTTCTAAAAGATTTGGTCAAAATTATGACATCATCTGAAACTGGCACCTTTCTTGGAAATAATAGATACATTTTTTTACTCATTATTAGTCTTAAATAGATTTTAGATTTTTTCTTCAATTTTAATGGTATATCACAATTTTCCTAGAAAATAATACATTATAGACAAATGTTCACATTTTTTAGAAGGATTTGTACATGATAGCTCTCTCTCTCCCTGTCTCTCTCTCCCTGTCTCTCTTTTTGAAGATTTTATTTTTAAGTAATCTCTGCACCCAACATGGAACTGGAACTCACAAGCTTGAGATCAAGAGCTGCATGCTCCACCAAATGAGCCAGCCAGGCCCCCCATGATAGTCTCTTATACTTCTAAAATCTTTTTTTTAAGATTTTATTTATTTATTCATGAGAGACACACAGAGAGAGAGAGGCAGAGACACAGGCAGAGGGAGAAGCAGGCTCCCCACAAGAAGCCCAATATGGGACTTGATCCTGGATCCTGGGACCACACCCTGAAAGGAAGGCAGATGCTCAACCGGTGAGCCACCCAGGCATCCCATACTTCTAAAATCTTAATCACAATGGTGTTTATACTGCTTTTCCCATTCTGAAATGATTCTTTCTTCTTTTTTCCTATTAGGTTTTCATGAAAGCCAATTAATTGGCCTTTTCAATTAGCTGCCATTTTGATTTATGTGCTATTTCATAAATCGTTATTTTTAAAATTTTTATGTTTATTCTTTCTACTTCCCTATGACTTAGTTTGTTACTCCCTTTCCACTTCCTTAATATGAAAGCATAGTTTTTACCTCTTCATTTTTATTATAAAAAGTTAGCAAGCCATGGATTTTTTTTTTCTGGGTATAGTTTTGTTTGCATTCTTTAAGTTTGGAAATATACTGGAAAAAGGCAATAAGGTGAGTTGAAAATGCTATTGAAATGTGCAAGCAGGCCAATTATAAAATCTAATTTTTTGTTAGTAATTTAGAGCTTTTATGCATTATGGCCAAATAATTTTTTTCTTTTGGGGGTTTGTGATGTTTTCTAAGACTACTGTATTATTAATTTTTTAAATGCTCAATGGTAACACACATTTAAATATATATTTCGGATAAAAGCTGAAGGGTTTACATTTTTAAGTCATTCTGATTAATAAACTCATTTTAATTCTTAAGTATAATTATACTGAATGGAGATTTTTTTGAAGATACTTTTGAGTAAAATATCATTAACTTTAAATATACCTCTCTACTTATTTTCCTACCTTGTTTGAATTAGAAGTATGGAAAGAAGGTGATAATAAACAATCAGGAAGATATGTGAGAACATAACAATCACACAAAAAAGAGATGCTTTAATAAGTTTTAAAGTGGCACAGACATAGAAAAGGCACTATCTAGGAAGGGTATTTTCTAATACCTAGATGATTAACGTAAAATCTTTCAGAGTATATTTAACCTTAGAAATGACCAGGATATAAAAATAAGCAGAGAATTATGCTAATTATAAATGAGACTTCAGTTCGATTTTAATTGACACCGGGATTAAAGGGCATACAGCATGACAATTCATAGCAAAGTTTTTTCCTACCGTCTGAAAGTGCCCAAGTGGCTCACAGCAAGAGAAATAATTGGTCACCTGTCTCAAAGCTTAGTCATCTCAGAAGAGCAGGCAAATAATGCCTGCCACATAGTAGATGTGTGACAAATATAGGCCTACTTAACTCTAAACCCTGAATTCTTTCCATTTGCCATAAAGCCTTTCTACCATATGCTTATAAAGAATATGGCCAAATTAAATATGGAACACTATTGGGAAATATATTTTAACTTGCACACATGTTCAAAATTATTTGAAATTACCTGTAATGAGAACACAGATGTGTCTAGAGCTACTAAACTAAGGGTAAATAATGTAGGCCAAATAATGAAGGGCCTGAGTTAGATGATTTGTACAAGATTATCTAAGTGAAGGACACCCATGGAATTGTTTATAGAACCTGGTTCTGAGTTTCCTGGGAGTAAAGGCAAAAAGGGACAATGTGATGGGGTTTAAATCCTCATAATCAAATAAAAAGAAATGCATCCATTTGGTATGAAAATCAGAATGTCTCCTGCTTTAATCATACGAGAATTTATTATTTGGGACTTTAAGTAAAGATAACACTAAGCAGTATGATAAACATCTGCAATAGCAATTTTTTACAAAACAATTATTTTCAAGCTTACAATATACAAACCAATTCTATTTTTTACAAATTAATGATAAAATAAGGAAAACAAAATTGGTTTTGTT